CTTCTTCCCAAAACTTCCTTCAAGACGAACCTTGAATCCGATGGTACTGAGGTGCAAGCTCGCCGGAGCAACCGTGTGATCTCCTTCACACTCCCTTGAAACCCCCTCCAAGGATCTTCTCCCTCTCTCAAACTTCACCCTTTCCTCTCTCCCTTTCAAGTCCTCTCTTCAAGTTTTCTCCAAAAGAATGAAGACACAATGGCTGCCAAAGACTCTTACAAAGTCTTATGAGAGTGCTTAAATAGAGGGCTCAAAAAACCCTAAAAATACTCAATTTGGGCGTCAAATATCGTACTGTACGATCGCAAGATCGTCCAATACGATGTGCAGAAATTGACCTGTTAGTACTGTACGATGTCCTGTACGATGTGCTGTACGATCCAGTTCGTACAGTACGATCCAGTTCGTCCAGTACGATCCAAATGACAAATTTCAGCCGTTTTGATTGAATAATCTCAGGATTAACTTAGGCAATATTTTAAACATCGTACAGTACGATTATGATCGTACAGTACGATTATACAACCTTTCAAATTCAAATTTTTGCCTAATTTAATGGACGGCGGGCTTTCTAATTATAACAGATCGTACAGTACGATGTGGTGATCGTACAGTACGATTAGTTATATTCAAAAATAATTTTTCCAGGAAAAATAAAATATTTTAATTTATTTCTGTTACACCAGATCGTACAGTACGAAATAAATTCGTACAGTACGATGAACAGAAAAGTTAAAATATTTATAATCATTTTTTGCTCCCTCTATTTGTGTGCATGATCAACAAACTAACATACATCATTACAAGACTTGACTCAATAAATGAAAATTACAGACTCATTTAATACGACCAATTCTATGCAATCTTGAGCCTTGAATCTTCAAAGAACGGTGCATGATGTACCTGAAATATTAGTCAACATAGAAAGACATATGCACTGCAAATACTAGGAGAAATAAGAGATTAATAAATATTATTTGTTATCATCAAAATCATAAACTCGGAAGCCCGAGTTGTAACATTCATGAGTTCAAAATTGAACACGAATCGAGCTTCTTATCGAGGTTAATGTCGAGCTTGTTCACGAACTTCAAATGATGTTGTTCGCGAACATAAATGAGCCGAACGCATTAGTGTTCAAGTTTGTTTATTTAAGAATCGAGTATTTAAAATATTGTTCAAATTTGTTTGTTTAGCTAATTAAACGATCACAAACGAGCTTTAATCAAATCGAACAGCGAGTAGATCGTCGAACGTTTGGTTTGCTTGCAGCCCTACTTTCAAGTATAAAAAATTTAACTTAAAAATTTTGTTTACTAAAAAGTTGCTTTAAAAAATAGTAAAAAGTTATCCCAACGAAGTCTTAATATCAAATATTGTGTGTTTATTCAATCTCATTATATTTAAAGACATAGATGTCCTAAGTTATGATTGTATGGATTTATTAGATGTTAATGTTATATTTATATGTTGCATAGTTTAATTAAAAGGTGTGCTTTCAAAAAGTGAATATCCAAGATGAAATATGTATGAAAGTTTGGAGTTGTCCTATTTTCTGTATTATTCCTATGAGCACTACAGGAAAAAACACTTATTACCGGCGGAATTTTCCGGCGGCTTTCCGGCGGTCAGTTTTTCGGCGGATTTCCGGCGGGTTTTGACTGCTTATTTCCTACAAAATTTTCCGGTGGCTTTCCGACGGATTACCGGCGGCTTTCCGGGGGGTGGCGTTCACGGTAAGAATTTTTTTTTTTTTAATTTGACCGGCGGTTTATGACCGCCGGCAAACCGCCGGAATAATTTGCCGCCGGTAAAAACCGCCGGAATTTATTTTCCTACGCCGTTTTTACCGGCGGTAAATTAACCGTCGGAAAACCGCCGGAAAACTACAAAACCGCCGGAAAAGGTTCAATTTCCGTCGGAAAAGGCCGCCGGAAATGGGTGATTTTCCTGTAGTGGAGAGGAATGAAGATTTAGCCAAATACATTACTAATTATATATCTTTTATTATAAACATTTTAAGCTTCATTGTGAATATAAATAAAGGAAAAATAGTTTATTAAAGTTAATAAAAAGCCGTATATATAATTTTTAATTAGTTATTATTTAGTTGGAGAGATTCTGACTCCATATATTTATTTTAATTTTATATTGGACAAATTTAAACAATTAAAAAACTCCTCTAGTATGGAGTCTATAGTAGAAAATTCCTCCAAATAATTAGATGTTAAGTTGTGGCCACCGAATGTTTGAGGAGTGAAGAATGATAAATTATAGGAGTTGGCTCTCATGGGTGTGTGATATATACATCATTTAGGGGTGTCAATATTTGACACGACACGAAAACTCGACTCAAATTCAACCCAAAAACTTCGGGTTTGACCCGACCCAATTTCAAAACGGGTCGGATTCGGTTTGACCCATCGGTTTGCCGGGTCAACCCGCTAACATGTTAAATCAACTGCCCGCCGAACTTGCCCAGGCTGCCCGTGCGAACCCGTGCCCTGCCCGCGCACGCGCCCATGCCACCGCGCCTGCCAACCCGCCACCCGCACGCCTTCCGAGGCCACTCACGCTTGCCAGCCCGCCGCCCTCGTGCCGGAGGCTGTCAGCGCCCGCTCACCTGCCCGTGCGTTCCGTTTCGGGTTGGGTCAACCCGACAGCCCGACGGATCGGGTATGTGTCGGCATTTCCGACCCATTTACATACCAGGGTCGGGTTATGGTTGACCCGTTTAAACCTGGGTCAGTTCTGGGTTCGACACAAACCTTACTCGTGACCCGAAATTAACACCCCTAACACCACCTTTGCATAAATCATGTAGTATGGCTTGCTTGTGCATTACCTTGCTCGTTATTGCCTTCGATCAATCTCACCTTTTGTCATACCTTAATTTTTATATGATAATTTTTTAGACTTGTTGATTATGGGAGACTCATACTTATTGTTAATCTTATCACAAAGGGAGAGCAACAATACAGCGCTAGGCTTTTATTTTTCACGGCAAGAATTCCTTCTTGTTATTTTTGAGGCACTTAAGCAGCCTTGTCAATAATTTGTAGGGTTCTCCTGAAAGGCAAGAGAAAAAAGGGGCAAGTGAGTGTGATAACTGATTACCTTATTTTTCAATAATATTTTAAAGTTTTTTTACCCTATAAATAATTTTACTTGTTGAAGGTTTAGAAAATTATAAAGGTGAATCGGCTAAGATAAGGAGGCGAGTTTCTTAAGCACAAACTGTTAATTTTCCTAGAGCCTTAAGCACTTAGTCTCGTTGCATCTCTTTTATTTTTAGCCGAGTTATCCATGTAAGTTGAAATTTTTTAAACGATGGTCTTGTGACTTGCCTAAGTTTGAAGTTAATCCAGTTCAAAAACTGATTGCTACGGCTTAACTTTAGTGGAATGTTTTTTTTTTTACTACTCTGACTTACAACATTGGGCGAGTTCGCCAAGTGATTAAAAAAATGGTGAGTTCTCCAGTTGTACCTAGAGAGGGAGCGGGTTCCCTAAGAATATTGGAGAAAACAAGACGAGTTCCTCAAGTTGTTGGTCACAACTCTTTCCTCCTCACTCTCTTTAGTGGGGAAGTTGATTATTTTGTCACTAGTGAAGGTGTCAAAGTTAGCACCCATTGTAAGATCGCCCCCTTTAGATCCCAAGTCTGAGGATTATTTTGACATGTTTGCCTATGGAGCCTTCTTTCATGCTCACTCTAATGCTCATTGGATCATTCTTATCACTCTTTCTTCCATCTCTATCAAATCTCGATGGATTATAAAATTTGAGATCTACATGTGCACTGACAACTCCTTATCGTGCTTGTGTTACCTTGCTTTATTTAGTGCTCAAGTTTAGGTCATTGTAATCACTCAACACTTACTGCAACTAAGAGGATGTTGAATCCAAATCTATCATTGGGTGATACCTTGACTACTAACAAGTCTAAATAGGCATACAAGGCAAGAGAAATGGAGAATGAGAGTAAGTTGAAGAACTTTAAAGTTAACTACTCTCTATGAAAAATGAAAACGTCATAATATCTTAAATAGTTAAATGTACATTGTAATCCCTTATTTACAGGGCTATATGAGAGGTTATAATGTAATCCCTTATTTATCACTATTTATAATGATAAATAATACATTTTGGATGGTTAAAGACTATTATAGACACTTTGACTAGTCTATGACATGAACACCTATGTTGAACTAGGCCTATTTTAGGAACTTTTATTTGGTCCGGTCACAGGACGTAGCTCTACGTTCGGCCTCCAGTAGAATCACGCCACACGTTCTCACTATTTACCGCGCGCCCCGACAACCTCACCCGGAATGGACCCAGGATGGCTCGGTATTTCTCGATTTTGTTAGGTATTACTCGGTATTGCTAGGAATTGATCGATTTTGCTCGGCAATAATCAATACCGAGCAAATACCGAGTAATACCGAGTAATACCGAGTTGTATCGAGTTGTACCGAGTTTTTCTAGGTATTGGTACAACTCGGTATTGCTAGGTATTGGTCGATTTTGCTTGGCAATAACCAATACCGAGCAATACCGAGTAATACCGAGTTGTACCGAGTTGTATCGAGTTTTTCTAGGTATTGGTACAACTCCGTATTGGTCTTCTAGAAAAACTCGGTACAATTCGGTATTTGCTCGGTATTGGTCTTCACAGAGCGGTATTTCTCGTTATTGTCATGCAATACCGAGTAATACATCGCAATATGCGAACATAGCATCCTGGGTTCCGGTCCGGGTCAAGTCGTCGGGCCGCGCGGTAGAGAATAAAAGCACGTGGCGATATGTTATTGGCGGCCGAACATAGCTCTACGTCCAACGTCCGGTCATAGGACATAATAATTGTTCCTATTTTAGAGTGAAGAAAATTGTAAAAGAAAAAAATTATGTAAGAAATTGTTTTTACTTTTTAGCCATCCGGGAATCAGCTATAAACCGGTAAGCTTACCCTGACCCCGACCAAACTGCTGACTCATAGTCTGGTGTCGGTGACCGGCGGCAATCCTCGTGAAGTCTCGTTCATGGCCTCTCGACTTGCGGAGATTCTTTCAAAAGGGCGCAGCAACTTCCGTTGTCATATATAAAGCGGTGTGGTGCACTCCATGGATTTTTCCTCCTCCACATTTCTGTCGATTTCATCTCCAGCTTCCTTACTTTGCCGAGCCATTGTTGTGAAGCCCGTCAACTATTCTCTACTCTCAAGAACAAAACCTAGAAACCCACTGACAGCTTCCTGTGCAGTGAACTTTAGAAACATTGGTTCTGTTTCTTGGGTTTACGAAAAAAGGATCTCAAATTTATCGCATATTTTGATGAGGTCTAGCGCGTTTCTTCCAATCCTTGCTTCTAAGAGAGAGACGGAACTGAATTCCGGCATCACCGATGCACGTATAGTCGCTGCGGCTGCCGCTACGGTAATTCTCGCTGTGGCGAATCGAGTCCTGTATAAGCTTGCTCTCGTTCCCATGAGGCAGTACCCCTTCTTTCTAGCCCAGGTCACGACCTTCGGGTGAGCTTCTTTGGCAAGTAGTTATTATTTGATGTTTTGTTTAACGATGGAGGGGTTGTTTCTCGCAGAGTTCTCTTTTTATAAGCGAAAGCTTTTTAAAACTAGGACATTAAACTTGTAAGGAAACTTGATGTTTTTTACTATCAAATTTAATGCAGTTTAGGTTGATCAAAAGCACCCTAATTGATTAAATCTTCGTCTTCCTCCCCAAAATCTTTCTATAAGATTGTGAGATTTCTATATGAGTAACATGCCATCTAGAATCTATTTGTATATTTACTGTTTGCAACAAATGGAGACCCTCCTAACCGGTTCTTTCAGGGGTAGCTTGTGTTTCTACTAGGAACTTCATACGCTCCGACCCTTAACCTGACAATGATGGCAAGCTAAAACCCACTCACTAAGTTAGAAATAAGAAAATTATATATAATAATGGGCTTACAAAAGCGTTAATCTTTCAGGCATTCCTTCAAATGTTTTAAGAGACTTTGCTCATTTGCTGGGGGTGAGGAGGAAATGGTCTCCAGTGCTTGGTATTGGGTAATCTTCTAAATTTATAATTATGCTGCAAGGCACAACTAGGTATAGGATTGAGAGGGGGAACATCTCTCTTTTGAAAATAGATGAAAGAAGTGGTGACATGTGACTATCCGTCCTCGAGGAAGTTAATTATTATGGAAGGAGATGATAGACTAAAAGATTTGGAGCTGGATCCTTAGCCCATTCCAAATCGATAAAAATATTGCAGATGTTTCCCAACCATGCCAGCTTAAAGGGTCACAGATTTTTTTCCTTCCATCATAAGGGAGGTAGCTTGGTAAGTAACATGTTACAAATGATTATTCTTAATGCTTACTTCAACCATACTGATTTTATTTGTTAGCATTACATGTATGATTACTTAGTGATCTTATGGATGAATTGAATACTTAATTTGTGAAATTAAGAAGCAATTGGAGGAATAGGAAAGAATCGTTAAAGGGTTGATGGAACGATAAAGATTAACTGAAGATTTGGTTAGCATTCGTGATGCACTTGCCAAGAGTGTTATGGTCATCAATCTTCATGAGCTTGAAAGAATTCAATCTCAAATTCTTGAAGCACAACATAAATTTAAAGAATCTCCAGCGAGTTTGTTGAATGCATGGTAGACGCCTTCACCACTAGATAGAGCTGTGGCTTATCGTGACTCTAAGCTAAACAAGTTATTCATCATTCTTTCAATGTTTAAGCTTAGGGTAATCCAAAGTGGAGGTTGAAATGGACATTGCCGATATAATGTGACACAGCAGAACGAAGAAGAAGAGAAGATAAAAGGTTTTGGTAAGAGGGACCAAAGTAGGAAGGTGGTACATTTAACTAAAATCCACCAGGCAATAGGAGAAAAAAAATAAGAGAATAGTAGTAAATCAATATATCACTCAATAATTTGATGCCTCTAATATAAGTTTATAACCCCTTATATAGACTAAGAGCTCACAATACAATGCTAAAATGCATTAAACTATTGTTGGAGGCAACATTCTTCAACAAATGATTGAAACAAAATAAACACATGATTAAAGCGCAATGTGGAAATGAATCTAACAATTGTGATTATCCCACACCATTTAACCATGGACGAAGAATTAGAAGATAAAGACCATGGTGGTATTGGTGGAGAAGCTAGATTATGCACCTCTCTAATTATACTCAGATGTAAACAAGTATTACATTTTATCAGGATTGTTGACATTTATCATGGAAAATCAATGGAGTTGTTAGTAACTGATAGATTTGTTAATAATCTGAAGACTCTGGAGCTAGACATCAAAGTACATAATGAATTAGATAAGCTAAAATCTGATGAAAGTTTAGTTGTTATAGTGGTGGTGGCATCATTGTTTAAGTTGTGCAATATGAGCCTTGCCTTGAGGCCCGCCTCCATGCAATTCTATTGAAAAACACATCAAGGCTTGTGCATCTATCTTCTTTTATGAGGCTTGCGCCTCAACTTGGCTAAGACCCCGCCTTGAGGAACGCATCGCCTCGCTAGCGTGAGGCGTATGCCTCACCCTATTTGTATATTGTTTTTATTAAAACTAACATAAATCCCACCTTCATGCACATTCGAGCCACAACAACTTCCTCTCGACTGTACGTAGCCAACACCATTGTAGTCGTCACCGACGATCACTTAAAAGTTGCACACCACCTATGTAAAAATTTTGGAGTATTAATCTCATATTTATGTTGATGAAAAACATTTATAAAAGATTGTCATGATTGAAATAAATTAAGAAGAATAGATTGGGAGTCATTTGACTCCACCAAATGAGGCAATGGATAGACTAATTTGTTATGGAGACAAATCAAATAAAGACCACTTCAATGATGACAATAAAGATGATTTCTGAGTTCTTGCACTATTTCAGCTTTCGTTAGGAATTAAATGTAAATGAGTAGGGAATTAAGTAAGAAGAAATTTAGAGTTAAACATGAGTTGAACATGATATTATATGATACTTTTATGCAATTTTTATATTTAATATTTTTTTTACTCTTATAATATTTGATTTTGAATTCTATTTCATGTAATTTATCACTTGTCATTTTACATCTTGCACAAATTTTTGTTTCGTATCTATGCCAATTTATTAATTCATAATTTAATAGGAAGTTAATGTCATCATTTAACATATTATTTAGGTATTATATAAAAAATCATTTTGGACCTTTATTTTTACTTTACACATTTTTATTTTATTTTATTTTTGAGACTTACGCCTCGCCTCAAGAACAAAAAAATGCATCAATACCTAATTGCGCAATTTTAAACCTTGGGTGGTATATAGTTAACCTGTATGAATAAAAAAGTTGGTTATGTATGATGCAACAATACAAACATGGGACACATATATGATACGACACATATATAAAATATACTTGTTAGTAAAATATAGGACAAATAAATGTTGGACATGTTAATGATAGATATTTTAAAAAAATAAAAATATAATTTGAAAAAAAAATAAAACCCTCTTATTAACATTTGTTTCTATGCAAGTCCGTCATTCCGATCATCATTATTTTACTTAACTCATGACATTTTTTGTCGGAGAAGCTTGTTTTCTTATTTATTATTTTTAATAGGAATCATTAATGGTCTATTTGATGCGTGCTGGCCATATGCCATGTCCTATATGTTTCAATTCATGCATACTTTGATATCATAAAGTGTTGGTGCATTATAGTTTGTAAAAATATAGGGATATGAGTAACATCCTATATAACAATTTTAATCAATGGTAGAGACTATGGATTTGGATTCATGTCGGGTAGGTCGACTATGTTTCTCAAAATCAATTTGGATTCATGCCGGGTAGGTCGACTATGGAAGCCATACATTTATTAAGAGGTTTGATGGAGAAATATATAGAAAATAAGGAGGATCTACATATGATATTTATTGATTTAGAAAAAAGCATATGATAAAGTTCCAAGAGAAGTGCTATGGAGAGTTCTTGAAAAGAAAGGAGTCAATAATGCTTATATTCAAATCATTAAAGATATGTATGCATGAGCTATTACTTGTGTTCAAACACAAGGTGGATTGATCAAGTATTTCCCTATTTCGGTTGGGTAACATCAAGGATCAGCCTTAAGCCCATATCTTTTTGCTTTAGTCATGGATGTTCTCACTTGACATTTGCAAGAGGATGTACCTTGGTGTATGCTTTTTACTGATGATATTCTTCTTGTTGACAAGACTAGAGAGGGAGTTGAAGGTAAACTTGAATTATGGAGGTCAACCTTAGAGTCTAAAGGTTTTCGCTTGAGTAGATCTAAAATGGAATATATGAGTCTCCTTAGATGGTTTGGTCACATAAAACGGCGGCCTTCCGATGACCCGGTTAGGAGTGTAGAGGTATTAGATTTGACTTATGTTAAGAAAGGTAGGGGTAGACCTAAAAAGACTTGGTTATAAAATATTAGGAATGCCCTTTCTTTATTAGATTTAAACGAGAATTTGACTTTTAATAGGACACAATGGAGAAAAAGGATTCATGTAGCCGACCCCACGTAGTGGGATAAAGGCTTGATGTTGTTGTTGCAGAGACTATGGATTTCACCCTGATATGGAACATCTTAGTTTTAATAGAGCTTAGAGACTAACTTATCTTCTTATTTTCTAGAAATTTCTTAGCTTATTATATATAGACATTGTAAGGAGAAAAGGATATGATGAATATTATATGATATTTTGAGCTTAGAGCTTGTATTGGTTTCCTACTTAGTTTCTGATACGTCTTGAACCACAAAAATCAGCGAACAATAGTAAATTTCAGTAAAATAATAGACTTTTATTGCTAGAAAATCAAATAAAAAGAAGCAAGATACAATTGATCCTCTTTCGAGAGGACGATCTTTTCTCCCAAACCTTTGACGTTGCTAGGATCCCTCACAAAATAAAACTACACCACTTAAGACAAAATTCTGCATAAGAATAAAATAAACCATACTATAGATTTAAATAGGCTTCCTCCCTCCCTCATAAATTGGCCCCCTTCCTAATATATCTCATTCATTAATTTGAAAATAATTCAATTAGGAAATGATCTCATTAGGAAAGGATTCACTAATTCATCCCCCTTTATAATATATCTCCCTTCTTAATTTGAAAACAATTCAATTAGGAAAGGATTTCATTAGGAAAGGTTTTCCTAGTTGATTTCCTCCTAATATAATGTATTAATTCCCTGTTGGCCCCCACCCCCTTAACCTCCTTTCTTGCCTTGTCAAGCCCTGTCGTATCTACTCTCCCCCATAAGTTCCACCTTGTCCTCAAGGTAGAATGCATGGAATTGCTGTTGAATAATCTGATAAACCTCCCATGTGGCCTCATGCTCTGGTAGGTCTTTCCACCTAATAATCACCTATTTTCTTCCTGTTATTTCGCTGGCGCACTCCTTTGACCTCTAATGATTCCAACAACACCTCCATGTCTTCCATCAAGGTCG